ACTTTGACGAGAAGCAAATGACAATTCATGTCGGAGGTAGATAAGGTCGGGCACATTAAGAAGGGCATTGCCGACGAAGCGTTCAAGTTCTTGCTATGTAAGAACTGCACAACAGTTGACTCCTTCATCGAAGAGTGCCGCATCTTTGAGCAAGCAAAAGGCAAGCATTTCATGCAACGCTTCGGCCAGCTTTCTCATACGCCTTGACCTCGTCCTGTAATGAACCAGCGTCGCTTCATCAACCAGCATCACCAAGGTTTACCCAAGCCATATGTCGTGAACTTGACGCTATGGCTCCGACTTCTCGTGGTTCCCACACGTTTAAAAACATGACAATCTCACTCATTCAAGCCGGTTTTTGCCAAGAAATTGTGAATACGGACATACCATCCGCCGTTCCACCTCGACCGCCCTAATCATCGCCTCTGCAACCCATCGAATGTATTCCGCGAATCGGTACCGAATTTAATCTGAGTGGCGAGCGCCGGATGACAAACCAATCTGCTTCATTTGCTATCGGATCGGCCATATCTCTCTCCTCAGCCGTACTCGCTGGAATTCATCGTCTGGGCCTTATACTTACCGTCGCTACGAATGCGCAGCTCGTCATCTGTCGCCTCCCGCCGAACCGTCATATGCTGATCGTGACGCTCCTCCTTGGTTCCCCACTAGCCGTTCGGCCTTTCCGCAGCGCCGTCAGTGCCATTAGCCTACTACTCGGCGACTCTTGTTCCCATCATATCCAAAGTGTTCCTCGGCAAACTAACCAGTGCAGGCCCGAGAGATGAGGATGCGTTGACGACTCTGACTGAAAAAACTTTTTGACCCTTGCCCATAAACGAAACCTAATCGAAGTTTTTGTTTATTATGCGCCCGTTAAAACCATCAGCGACAGTGTAGTTCAGGTGTCGGTCATGCGATCTGACCTTCGTAAGCGTCTTCGAAAAGTGCGAACGCCCGCCAAATCGCCTGCGCAACGAGTAGCCAACGGCAGCACAACTGCCGTCAGGGGAATGTGCACCGCCTGTATCACCATCGCCGACCGCTCAACGTCAGTTCTGTTCCCTGTACTTCTCGAATGTCATCATGAGGTTATTCTTGGAATGGGCTTTTTGACTGATCATTCTGTGCTTATCGGCTGTTCAACCGGTATTCTGAGGCTTTAGCTATACCAGTGCTGTGCCGACGCCTGCGCAGATGCCCAGCCACGACTTCGCTCAGCTGACATTGTTCGGCTTCAACTTGGCGCTGCGACTTATGTCCCCATGTCGCCATGCCGACCACTTCAGGATAGTACTTACGTCATGTCTCGACTTTACGCCGTCACACTAGAACGTCAAATAGCCCATCCTAGCTCCATCAATACGCTCACTGACAACCACGCGTGGCTTCCTCTCCTGAACCTTGGCTCATCACCACAAGCTCTTCCTGCCTGTGTATCTCTTGCTGTGTTGTGTCCTTTGCCGGAGTATGTGAACTAAGCTAAGAACAACCAAACACGTTTGATCAACCTTCGGCTCCGACGACGACATCTAACGAGAAGTTCACAAAATTATAGCTCCTGACTTGCAACCTTCGTACGCGGACGCCCTCCGTCGCGCTTTGATGTCTTACGGAGACATATTTGATTTCAACAGCCACCCGCTGGGTCTTTTGTTGCTCATCCAATCCAGACTGGTGACGCTTCGCTCATCCATAGGCGTCCCTATCGTTTGTCGGCAGCAGTACGTCATGTCATACAAACAGAGGTCGAGAAAATGGTGTCCAAGGATATTATGAAGCCCTCCTCCTGCCCGTGGGCTTCTCCTTTCGTTTTAGTAAAAAAGAACAATACTTAGAGGTTCTCCATTGATTGTCATCTGAACAAGATCACAAAAATAGAATGTTATATTACGTTATTCGTGTTTTAGTGCACGCTATTCTGCCCTTCGTCAGCAAACCCTAAACAATGTTTCCCAGAACACCGCGGGCTTTTGTCCTTCTTAAGCGCGAGACAGACATGCGATTTTCTCTGCGATTCGGCATGCGGTGCGACGATTTGACTGCTGGAGTGGTGACGTTTCGTGAGGTTTCGTGACGTATCTTCGCGTCGCACCGCCGCATAGCCGGTGCGGCGAGCATCAAACCGGCCAGATATTTTCGTCGCAGCATCGCACCGCCGCATGGCAGCAGCCAATCACAGCGTGAGCATACGAGTGACATCACGATGCTAGTGGCGCCATCTCCCTGTCGCCGCTCCCATCTACCGTCGATGGAGCGGTGTGAGCGTGGATTTGCTTGCATCGCCGACTGCGGCCGCGTGACAAACATCGAGTACATTTCCCTGGTGACGTGGTATTATTCCACATTGAATAAAGTGATGCTCGAAGTGTGCCTTTTCTGCACGACAACGCCCGTTTTGAAACCGCTAGGGAGATCGGAGATAGTGAGCAGCGATGCAAGGTCATTTCGCAGGCAAACACAGCTACCGGCGTATCTGCACTGGCTCGCTTCGCTTCCACATTTGCTCTTCACATCGATGGCATCGATAAAGTAATAATGTATGCTAACGCATTACATACGAGCGCAATGCTTGATAGTGTTGTCAAAACAAGCGCTCGATGATGAGCTCGCATGTGAACGGCGTAGGCGACGGCCGGCGCCCGCGATGCTAGGCCTACCTGTCGGAGTCGTGAAATCAGCTGTTGCCGTGGTTACGACGTGCTTGTCGTTCACGAATGTGATTTATTATTTTTATAGAACGAAGCGTGGCTGTGCAATGTCGTTTGTTTTGAGCCTCATTACGAGGACCCTGCATGCCAAGGCACCGCATGGGGGCGGAGCCTGCCGCTGATAGCTTTGCCCTCGTGTGTCCCGAAACGTCGCATGCGGCACGCTGCACCATGCGACGCCGCACGCCGCATTGCACGGAAAATCGCACGTCTGTCTCGCGCTTTAGTGTACGGGAGGCACCCGTCGTACACCGCCCCGCCGCGGTGGTCTAGTGGCTAAGGTACTCGGCTTCTGACCCGCAGGGCGCGGGTTCGAATCCCGGCTGCGGCGGCTGCATTTCCGATGGAGGCGGAAATGTTGTAGGCCCGTGTGCTCAGATTTGGGTGCACGTTAAAGAACCCCAGGTGGTCTAAATTTCCGGAGCCCTCCACTACGGCGTCTCTCATAATCATATAGTGGTTTTGGGATGTTAAACCCCACATATCAATCAATCAATCAACCCGTCGTACACCATCGACACGATGCTGCCGTAACTGCTGGTTGCTTCTGAGTGTGCGCGTATTTCCGACGCAGCCACGCTGGCTGAATAGTGTCGCGAGCTTGATAAGCACTTTACGACGAATGAAAAAGAGCGCAAAACAGTATTTGTGATAGCTCCGCCACTTTTCAGTCTACATTCTTCGCTAGGGTGCTCGTATTGCTATTGGTTCGTATTTTCTTAACTGGCCTCTCGTGAAAACTACTGCCGGAATGCGAAGGCCCTTAACTTGTTTTCGAGCGCACATCCCTGGTCAAGTATACGATCGAACCCACGGAACAATCTTCGGACGTGTGCCGTCGAGGGCGCAACAAAGAAAACATGGAGTGTTTGAAGGCCTACTTTGAACTGCCTATAGTGATGAGCTGTTAAGTCGCTCGGTAGCTTCCTTGTCGTGCCCGGGGTGATTGTAGCGAAGCCTTGGGACTTGATTGCGCCTTCAAGTGGGTCATCCCTGAATTGGGTGCCGCTTCCTCTGAAAGTCCGTGCCTGGCTGTAATTATCGCAGCTACGTTTGGTTGCTGAGTATCATCTAATAAACACCTTAACAATACATCTCCTTTATGAGGTCCGCACCGCACAGGAGTTCAGGTTTCATGACGTAAAACCGTACACGAGCTTCGGTTTCATTCATGTTAGAGCGAAATAACAACCATTCACGAACACAACTCTATTAGTATTAAAATAAGGTACAATAACAAAAGTAGCCAAACAAAAATATTACATATCTAAAACGCAGGAAATGCCAAGTTAAAGAGACATCATAAATGCAAAGTAGAGCATTCTAACATGTCGAGAAAAAGATCGTATGAATTTTTTTGAGGGTCGCAGCTCTTTAAGGTTTCACGATTTCCATCCTGCTTCAATGTGTCTATGTGTCTGCACCGTGCACAGTCTCAGCTGCAAAACATCTTTGCGTACAAACGTCCCCAAAGAGCACACATAGAATAAAAATAGACCATTCGTTTATTACTCCGTCCTTTATACTAGTCGGTAACTTCATGTAGATATGACAGTTAGGAGTCAGCTTCGCTTCCTCATCAGCACCCATTTCGTGCATATGCGTAGATTTTTTTTGCCTTTCAGTAAAGCAAGAGCTATGCACAACTTTAAACTACATCATTAACTGAAGTTTATGATGACGCAGTGGCACTTATCAAAGGCAAGGAACAATTATCACGAAGGCAATCGTAAATTAAGGCCCTACATCATAAGGTGATTCATCACACGTGTCCATGTGCATTTGGCACCACCGAAAAATCACATCCCATAAGCAAATGTGAAGCTAAGTCATACCAGCCCTACTAAGGAATTTGTATGCCGAATAATAAGGGTTGCGCTAATTAACGCTGATTTAAGACTGTCACTGCCAACCTCTTTTCATTTGTTCATGTTATATTTAAGAAAAATATTACATTTCGCGCTTTGAATATTATGTGAGAAGTGGCAACGTATCACTCGGAATTTTCGCGCCGCTCCACACACTTGCACTCTGCTCGCGCGCGACCACACTGCCACTGTCAGACTGACCGTAAAGTGGCACTGGACACGTTATGTGAACGTGTCGCAGGCTGGTCATGGGGCGTCTTTTTCTTGTCTTAACGATCCACTTCGCTGTTTATGCTGAACAAAACTGGTGGTAAAGACAAACGCTAACGTGTTCGATCTGACAGTCGACCAACGTGCACGTCTGTTTTATATAGTAAAAATATCCATCGAGTTGATCTCGTGCCTGTTCTTTTTTCTGCAGGTTCCGAAGAAGGCCTATTACTTCGGGCGAAACAAGCATGCTTGGCTCAGTGAACTGGAAGATGGTTATCAGGTGTGTCATTTTGTGTCTATTTTGACAGGCATATGTGCAAGCCATGGGAAGGCTACCAGCATTATTAATGCTAATAAATGTGAAGCATTTATTTGCGTACTGCAATCACTTTTAGCGTCCACCTGCGTATCTATCTAATCTATCTAGCTGCTTACATCTGGGTGAGCTCGTGATCACCTCCTTAAGTTCGCGTAAACCAAAATTATTATGGTATTGTAAAATGGTTTGAAGAATGTGACACGCTGTTCAAGATATGAATAATGTCACAATCTTGTCGCGCATGTCGTAAAATGCTCCTGGCCAGCCACATACCCGAGGGCAAGTATGTGCCACTGAGATGCGGATATGTGCCACAGGTGATTGACACCTAGGATCTATGCAGGAACGAAGGGAACACACGTGGCTATTTTAAGATGTGAGCGTGAAGCAGTACCTGACATTTGCAGTGATGATGCAATTGATTTCAAAGAATAAATGTCAGGATACAACAGAAATTGAACAAAAGCATTCTGCGTGGCAATCAAGCATTATAACACACACCCACGCGATGGCCCGGATCTACTTTGAAAGAAAAAAAGGCTTATATATGGTAAATGTCCATTGTGCTTGCTCTGCTAGTTATCAAATATTGTAAACAATCCTTATGTACTCGTATGATACAGCCGTCACGTCGGCATAACGTCCATTGTAGGTAGGTGCCTTGCGCTGAAGTCGATTTATGTAGCAGTGTCCAGAGATACCATCCTCGCAGTGCGTGCAACCTTTGTACATATCAATCAATCGAATCACTTAATATATTGACGCAAAGATAGGGGGGGGGGGTTAACGTCTTAAAACCACCATTTGAGTAGGGGAGACTACGTAGTGAATGGTTTTGAAAATTTCAAACACCTGGGGTTCTTTAAAATGAATGAAGTGTCGCTCAATAACAATTACGACACGATCACCTTTCTTCCGCATGCTTCGCATAACGTGGATTCCTAAGGTGAGCTAAACCTGCCAAACCATTTTAGAGGCAGCTTATGCAGTAACTTCAGGCTTCGTAGGGACAGAGCGTCCTTTGGCGCCAGCCAGGAATATATAAAGCAGCTTCGCTTGGGCATCGTCAGTTCACAACGAACTGTTCGTCGTCTTGCCTGGCAGCTATCTGACAGGCAAGAATGATGATGCCCCAAACACGGCTCCTACCCACTCAGTAGATCGGCCAAGCTTTGGTTATGTGATCTAGTGACACATTTTTAGTATTGAATAATCAGGATGTTGAGAAAAACAACAAACGTAAAATGAAAATAGTGCCAGAATTGTTTTCCTCCCGTTGGAACTAGACAGTCATTAACTGCAAAGAACGTGAATAATGAATAATATTATTATTGTTCTATATTTTGAAACGTAAAACTTTGACTGAGATATTAGTACACATATAGCCAGATCTGTGTCATTCTTTTTATTTTGTGAACAAGCACAAACAGCATCAAAAGCGTTCTTGTGGCTGAGGCATAAAGTGCCAACCACTGGCACCCGTACGGTCGCGCCTACGCATCAACGGCGTCAAATGCGCCTCTCAGTGACGGCGTCGGAGGGGCATACGCGTCGAAGCGCGGAAGATCAAGTGAGGCTTGATATTTTCGCAAACGTCGCTACGCGTACAGTGGCGCCAACCAACCAGAGGCCACGACGCTTCCAAATTCTATGCCTAATGGCCACCGCTTCGATGGCACGGCTGAGTGCTGGGCGCAAGCATGGAAACTCCAAAAGTTCTTGATTGACCGCTTCGTCACCTAGAACGACAACGGCACGAAGAACGACGGCGAGTACTACAAGCGTGACGTGGTTTCGTGCCGAGTTCGAACGACGCCGACAAATCCACCGAATGCCGGCCGGTTGCACTTGCGCCGGTCCTGAGTGCGATTGCCAGCCAAGTGAAAACACTGTACAGACTACTGGAGTATGTCGGTAATTCTCTGTTTTGAATATGTGTGGTTTAACGTCCCAAAACCACCATATGACTGAGAGACGCAGTAGTGGAAGCTGCAGAAATTTTGACCTCCTGGGGTTTATTAACCAGCGCCCAAATCTGAGCACACGGGCCAACAGCTTTTCCGCCTCCCTCAAAAATATAGCTGCCACAGCCGGGATTCAATCCCGCGACCTGCGGGTCAGCAGCCGAGTACCTTAGCCACCAGACCACTGCGGTGGCTCGTTCCTGTGCTTTGATTTGTGATAATATGTGGTAAAAATAAGTGTAAACAAACTTCAGAGGTATGATCAATGAGCGTGAGTGCTTCCCTGCCGCGTAGTCAATTCTGAGCAGTGTCGTCCGCATTCGGCGTAGGCCTCTACCTTCGAGTTCGTATGAAGTTCATGTGAGAAACATTGGTTGAAAAAAAATTGACGGTAGTTTCTGTCGCCACGTTACGACGCCTGAAACATCGTTTAGTGCCTACGGAGGAGTTTTTAACCACACTGTGTTTCTTTTCAACATCAGTATTCATCATCACTGAAAGCAAACCTAGCAGAATCCGACAGATTTTAGTTTTGTGTAAACTTACGTGCTTACAGAAGTGTATTTGCGGATTGTACCACGCTGAAACATTCGTTAATTGGCTTCGGTGCAGATCGTTTGCGTGTGTTGTCAAGCTGACAACAAATGTGCGCTGGTTCGTAACAGTGTGATGGGATTTTGTGTCGGGTACCGAAGACGGTGTTGCATTCAACCGTCAGCGGCATCATTTATTTTCATGTATATGATATAAATTTGAACGCGTGTATCTATGGTATCGAAAAAGAAATTAGCATGATTAAGTGTTGCTGGTGTTATTTCACTTCTTGATTCCTGTTCTGCTTATTCGCCACACTCTGTAGAACATACGCTGTTTGGCAGCTTTCTAACACACACATTTTTTCTAGCTCATTATGATACTCATATCTAGTAAAACATTGGCGCTTTTCCATCATTTTACACTTTACTATATAATAGCACTCCTTTTTTTTAGAACCAGACATATATTTAAAAGGAACCCATGTAAGTAAGAAGCACCTGGTTTCAAATCAGCTGCATGACACTACAGCAGGAAGAGAAGAGCGTGTCACCGTATGTGTGTACAGAATGAATGAAAGTGCCCTAGTACTGTACTGTACATTGTTTGAAAATGCAAACAGTGCATCATCGAACCTCTGAGAGCATTCACAACTGCGCATGTAATTTGTCTGTTCCTCCAGATATATGAGCTGAACAAATTATTACATTGTTTCAAACAATAAATATTTGTACGTGTTTGCAAGTATTGTTTCAACTATGTTTTTTGTATATGCATTACTTGGACCATGCATGCACTTAAACATATTGAAAATATCAAGATATTCTGTGTAGCTATGTTAAAAATCTTTCCAAAGGCAGTGCTCTGGTGCAAATATGATGACGGATACACGTCGCATCAGAAGTTTTCAGGCACGCTTTATTACGTTAAATAGTAATTTGACTACAGACGACATGTGAAGGCCTTGTATGCAGTGTTTAACTGCAATATCAAAACTAATATCTGTAGAATCAGGAAGTTTCAGATGTATTTCGTGAATGTTAAAAAAAATTGCCAACAAAGTTCAAAAGCCTTCAACACAGCGCTGATCGGCAATCAAAATCTAACTTACAGCCATTTTTAGCACTCTTTAATGCGTTAAAATAAAGTTACCAAACACTACAATGATCTTATAGCAGTGTGCTTAATTTTTGGAGGCACTTGTGTGATAATATTTTTCTATTTCTCTCATTTTTTATCGCGAATCTTTCAGGAAGTTGCGATATTTGTTTCTCTCTGTGCACTTATTGTGATATTACTATTTAAACGCATTCATATTGTACGCCACTGATGCAGTAGCTCCGCATTGGTATGCAGAGTTTGAAAATAGATTACGATACCATCTGAAACCATCCTACTCAGAGCTCTAACCCTATCATAGGAGCAATATCTGGTGCGTCATAGAGTGTCGGGTGTAGTTTATGGCATTGCAGAATGTTTTGACGGCAGTCAACCTTCAAACTATTTCCGCACGAGGTTCAATTGAAATCTTATTATTGATATCTGTGACTTCATGAAGAGTTGGGCGCAGTTTCTCGCTTTAGAGACTACTTTGACAACAAACATCGAGAAGCCTTCCATACTGAGTTTAGTTGCAGTCTTATGACCTATCTGTCACATCATGAAGTGTCAGGCACAGATTGATGCGTTAGAGCGCATTTCGACTACAAAAAATGTCGAAAGGCATTTTACGCAGTGCTTGGTTCGTATCTTGTGACCAATATCTTTTCTATAAATGCTTTGTTGCATTAGAGGATATTTCTACCGCAGACATCATTCGAATGCCTTCTACACATGACACAATTGCAGCCTTTTGACCTAAATCTCTCACATCATGAAGTTTTGGGTGGTGTATGTCGCTTTATAGAATATTTTCACTAAAGACAACGTCCACGTGTCTTCCAGACAGAATTTCGTTAGTTTTATTTACGATACCTCTTACATCATAAAGTGTCAGGCACTTCGTGATGCGTTATAGCATATTTCGAATACGAAAAAAGCTCGAAGGCATTCTACGCAGGACTTGGTTACCATTTTGTGACCAATATTTGTTGCATAATTTACATCCTTGTGTGCTTTCTTGCGTTGGAGGATATTTTCACCACAGACATCATTCCAACGCCCTCAACACAGGGCACACTTGAAGTGTGATGACCTAAATCTGTCTCATCATGAAGTGTTAGGTGTGGGTTGTCCATTAGAGAATATTTCAGCTGCATACAATGTTAAATAGCCTTCCATACAAGGTTCACTTGCCATATTATGAGCAATATCTGCGACTTCATGAAGTGTTGGGCATGGCTTGTTGTTTAGCGAATACTTTGTCAATTGGTAACGTTTAAAAATCTTTCATACCGGGTTCAGTTTCCAATATCTTTCAGTTATTACCATTATCATATCAGTTATTACCACTATGTCAGTTAT